GAAAGGCGGCAGCAGGTGGTTTCCAGCAGAATAAAGTTGGTAAAGTTATTTATTTGCATCGTCTCCGGCTGTTTACTCAGCGGGAAAACAGCCTCACCTGTCGCCTCATACCTGCACTTTCACTTTTCACTTCCTGACAAACCGCCGACGGCCTTTCTGGGAAGTGCTAAGATCCTTTTACGACCTTTGACCCCTCAGGGTTTATAGTTCTGTGCGGGAAAAAAGCCCGAAATTTGGACAAAGAGCAGAAGGAAAGAAGCTGCCTCCATTAAACTTAGACTTAGACTTGTACTTTATTGACCCCTTGGGAAAACTCCCTCAGGAAATTAAAGTTACAAGCAGCTTAAAGGGCAAAAAGTATTAAGATAAATTAAATTAAATTAAATTAAATTAAATTAAATTAAGCAAAATAAAATAAACAAATAAAAAACACAAAAAATACAGATTAAGTACAGAATTAAAATGATCAAATAAAAAAATATATACAATTAAAATGCCTGAAACCCTGAACAGCAGCTTTTGATCCAGTTTAATTTATTTTAAGATTAAAATTAAAACAATGATGACAGATTAGCGCTCCAGTAGCCACATTCAGCTAATTTCCATGTTTTGAAAAGCACCGAGCAACAGATTTAGCTTCTTTTAGAGTTTCAAAAATGCTAAAACTTGCTAATTTCCTCTTAATCAGACGTCAAAAGGGCATATCAAAGAAACACTTCGAGATTAGCTGCTAGCTAAAGTCCATGTTAGCTAGCATGCTAGCTGCCTTTATGCTGCTTAAAAAAAAAAGAGAACTAGAGTCACCCAGAATGTGCAGATTTATGTGGTAAAATTTAGGCTTCACCTTGTGTGAGACTGATAACTTTAGTTATTCATTTAATAGTAGTTATTTAGTTCTTCTCGGTTTGACATCGTACCGTTGTTATTGTGTTAGCAAGCTAGCTATTAGCCACGCGGAACAGCCTGCTAATGTTACTCGTGTGGTTTTACTGTTGGTTTGAGCTTTTAACCGGATAAACATGAAGAAAACAAACACGGGCTGAGTTGTGTTTCTGTTACTTTTACAGACAGTAAACCGACTCATCTGAATAAATCTTTATTATTGAACAACTTCTCTGGAAATGATGAGGAGTTGTGTCATTTTCATTTATCTGGAAGAAGGGTTTTGGGACTTTAAATACCCGGATTAACCCTTTAAAGGGCTCTAATTTAAATACTTTATACTTAGTGATATTTAAACCACCAAATCAAAGGTTATTCTCCAGTAAAGGAGGTTTTACTCTGTTCTGATCATCAGTAGAAGAATATATGGATTAAACAAACAAGTAAATAAATAATAAATGAAAAATAAGGACAAAGTCCAGAGTTTATCAGAAAACGACCGACCAGATAAACAAACCACAGGTGGCTTTATTACTGTGTAATTAAATGTGTTTATGTAAGAAAAGGCCCATAAACACCAACAACTGCGGTCTGAAGTGAAACTAACCTCCAGTGTCTGAGCACTTATGAGGGAACGGCTCCCTCTGGTGGCCACTGGGGGAACAGCAGGGGAAAACAATATACTATATGATATTATACCATATAAAATAATATATCACTATATAATATAATATTTCACTATATAATATAATATTACACTATATAA